CCGCGCCCGGAGCCCCACGCAGCTGCAGCCAGATGCGCGCGGGCAGCGGCTCCTCGGCGCCCAGCGCGCCAAGCACGGCCAGGCCCACGCCAAACAGGCCCTCGATGCGGCCGCGGCTCCGCTCCAGCAGCTCCGCCTTCTCGGCGGGCGCCGTGAACTCGTCCAGCACCCCACGGACCTCCATGGCAGCGCCCAGGATCCGCGGCGGGCGGCGACACCCCCTCAGCTTGCGGCCGCGGCGCCTGAGCCCGTCCGCTGACTTGAGCCCACTCCTCCCGCAGCGTGACTACTCCATCCCGCCGCCGCGGCCGCCTCGGAAGGCAACTATGGGAAGCGGGCCCGACGCCCCTTCACCACCGCGCATGCGCACTGCTTGCCAGCCTTCGGAAGGGGAGGGCCACGGGGAGGGCGACTGGAGAGTACGTCAGGAGCTGCCGCCATGTTGATTGAGGGCAGAGCGAAGGCTCGGGAGGCTGGGCGACCTTCTTTGATGAGGTCACGGCAGTTTTGGGTAATCTGGTGTGTGCAGATTTCTGATTTTGATACGCATTTTTCTTTCCTCTTATATTATTTTCTTTAATTTTCGGGGGGGATTTTTGGAAACAAGGTCTCGCCATGCGGCCCAGACTGGCCTTAAATTCACTGTGTAGCATAGGCAAGCCCTAACTCCTGGCGATGCTCTTAATGCACGCCACCGTTCCAGTGAATTTTTCTTTTCCTCCACTCTTGTGCTTTTTTCTCCCTTCTCTTCCTTTCTTTCATTTCTTCACTCCCCACGCCTTCTCTTACCGTCCTTATTTCTTTCAGAGATAATGGTAATGGGAAAAGTAATGGTAGGGTGGGTATATGTCAGTGTCCTGGGTCCTGACCCATACCAACACCACCCCTGAGAAAAGAAAGTGGATATATGGAAAACTGAAGAACAAAAAGAGTGAGAAAATTTTAGGAAAAATTTTTTTTGACTCTTTAATTTTTTTATGGTATAATAGGGGTTGAACCAAGAGAGCTCTGCACTAATTCTTTAAGTCCTTTATTTTGAGAAGTCTCAATAGGCAACCTAAAAATTTATAACTTCCTACCTCAGCTTCCCTAGTAGCTAAGATTACATGTATTCGTCACCACGACCTACTGGAAAATGATTTTTTCTGGAAGAAAGAAAAGAATTTGAGTTATGGGAAGGGCACAAAAGTAGTGTGGGTTTAGGGGTCTCATGGACTGTTTACTCATTATAAAATCAAATGTTACATTTGTTATATTTTCTAGAGCTTAGATTTTCACTTATTCATTTATTTTGGAGTACTGAGGATTGAACCTGAGCCTTCAACCTGGGCTACACCCTCAGCCCTTTTTATGCTTTTTTAAAAGACAAGCTCTTGCTAAATTGCCCAAATTGGGCTGCAACTTACACAGATCTTAGATTTTCTGAGCCCATGAAAACAAGTTGTGAAATGGTGTGGGTTTCCTTCCACTGAGCCTGACATTGTAGCACAATAGACAGTGAAGCACCATGGACTATTTCTGGGTTCCAGATCCGCATCTGTGAAATGCAGATAACTAGTACCTACTTCCTGTTGTGAAAATGAATATAATACCTGAAATAGTAAGTGGTCACTAAATATGAGCTGTCAGCTGTCTATTGATAAATTAACATGTCCAGGGTCTGCTGTCCTGGAGAACCTAGTCTGGCTGAGCCAGTGGGCTGCTAAGAGGTTTGGGCTGGAAAGGCAAAGGGGGAATGTGTTGGCAACAGGGGTTATCCCAGGTAAAACCTGTCAGGAATCTGAGCTGCTGGGGTTTTCCAGGGCTTTCAAAACCTCAGGCAGGTGTTTCCTTGCCCAGGAAGAGGTGACTCAGTAGGGAAGCGAACCTCTGGGCTCCCAGACCGATTTCTTCCTCTTCCTGGGCTTTTCCCAGCCAACATGGATAGGCTAAGGCAGGTTAGGTGGGCAGCAGGGCCCTGCTGGTACGTTTCATCCAATATTTCTACTTAACTTAGCTGTCTATAACATGGCCTCTGAACTTTAACCTCTTTGAGTGACCAGCCTGACCTGTCTGACTGGCCTTTCCCAGCCTAGGACCCTGCTGCAGGTGATACAGAAAATAATATAACTCCCGATCTGTTAGGTGTCAGATGTGCTGGATTCATGTTCCCCAAAATCAAAGAATGAATTCTAAAGAACAACAGAAGTTGAGTAAGAAAAGCATATAGAGACAGCTCCTGAGAGACAGAAAGGGACCCAAAAGTGGATTGCCAATAAGCCTGTTATAGGCAGCAAATTAGATAGAAATATTATAGATAGGGATAGACCCTAGAAAAAATCAGTGCAGAAGATGAGACACCTTGCAACTGTAGAGAAAACAGGCACCTCCACTGTGGACCAAGACAATAAATGCACCTCAAGACACAAGATAAACCCACCCACATACTCCCTAAGGGTAAATACCAGAATGATATTCTAAATAGGTATCCCTTACCTTGAGGAAGCCAGAAAAAACACTAACCCAGCACCCTACAGAAAGAGCCCCTATTCTGTATTCATGCCTGCTTACTACATGACTTGCTTCCTCATTTGCTCCTGATTTAATCAATTTTACCTGAGCAGTTATGCTAATAATCTTATGGATTGACCATGGTTTTGTCCCACCTCATGCCCACCTTTTGATTTCCCATTTTTCCTACCTTGGATCACCCTCACCTTATAAATTTGCTCTATAAAAACCCTTAGGGGCTGGCGAGATAGCTCAGTGGATTAAAGGCAAATGCAGAAACTACAGTTTGATCCCCTGCATCACATGCTGCGCCAGCCCCACCCCCAGGGCAGGCTGAGCCGGCCACAGAATCCGGGGGTATTGTGTGCCTGTAATCCTAGCACTGGGGAGGCTGAAAACAGGAGGATCACTATGAGTCCAAACAACATAGTGAGACCCTGTAACATCCAATTACATTTAAAAAAAAAAAAAAAAAAAAACTTGGAAAAAGCATGGTCCTTGGCAACCCACTCACTTTCTTTCCTCCCAATAAATATATTCTGTTTTTAACCTCTGTTATTGCTAAAATTCATTCTCCAATTTTAGAGAATATGAACTCATAGCAAATTGGGAGTTTCTTTGCCCCTATATCAAGCCCACCTAAGAGGAAGTTCTGGACCAGCAAGATAGCTCAGCAACTAAGCGCCTGGTTTGGCAAGTACAACAACAAGGGTTCGATTCTCAGTCCCACATGCCGCACCAGCCCCATCCCCAGGGCGTGGTGGCACATACTGCATAGCGCGACCCTGGACCAAAGACAGAGCAAAATCATGAGATGAGTACAATATGCATCAAAATTGTATCAACCAATATGATTACAAGTGTAGGCACTTAGCTAATGTTGATATAATGGAGAAATAGATCATGTAGCAAAGGTACATGAGAGGAGCAAGAATCTTTTTAGTAAGAGATGGATCAGAATGCTATTAGCATGATATTTTAGGAAGAAGTTTTATAGAACAAAATGATGAGGTAGATACAATGTGGGAAAAAACTATAATCAATAGGATTATAAAGGGCCGACCAGATAGCTCATTGGATTAAAGTGCCTTCTTAGGCAGAGCACAGCAGCCACATTCAGTCCCCGATATACTGTGCTGGCCCCACCCCCAGGGCACACTGAGATGTTGATTGAGACTGGGCATGGTGGCCCATGCCTATAATTCCAGCGCTTGAGAGGCTGAAAACAGGAGAATCACTATGAGTCCGATCTGTGTAGTGAGACCCTGGAAACCCTGTACTAAATACATTTAAAAAAATAATAAGATTATAAATATAGCTGCTTAGGTAGTATTGGTCCAATGGGAAAGCAAGTTGTATAGCAAGTGTACACAGAAAGAACAAAGAACTTTTCAGGAAGAGATGGATCTGAGGTCTTGGTCACCCACAAGGTGACTGATGTCTGTCTAGCCTTTTTTTTTTTTTTTTGGCTGGCTCAGCCCACCCAGGGTGCAGTGCTGGCATGGCATGTGGTGCTGGGGATTGAACAATGGCTGCCTAAGCTTGCCTAAGCAGGCGCATTACACTGCTGAGCTATCTCACTGGCCCTGTCTAGACTTCTATTAGACCACCTGTTCCTTGGGGAAGCATGTAGACTTGGTCATTCTATTTATCTCACAGCTTGGTCCTCAACAGATGCTCAGCCAACCAAGGTTGTGATGTATTCTGTCTTCTGCACTGACTTCCCTGACAGCCTAGCCCTATTTGACTGCTTAAAATGTTTTGACCTAACTTACCTGCCTGTAATACAGGAACTTCTTAAGTCTACTATGTTTTAGACACTCTACTTAAACTTTTCTCTACTTTCCACAAGAACTCCTTAAGACAGTATTGAGAAAATCTCCTATCTCTCCTTTGGTCAAAGGGGGCAGGTAAGGCCCCTTCTACTCTCAGCAATCCCATCCTGCTTCACCCGCCAGTCACCTGTACTTCCCAGAGTTGTGATGGGCAGTCTACATGTGCTGCTGCCGATACAGCTGACAGTACAGCTGCACTGAGTAATAAAGATGATATTCTGCTCTCTGTCTATGCTAGAATCACAGACATACACCACCATGCCTGGACAGGAATAGACATTTGAATCACAACCTTCTGACTGCTGAGTGCTCTGATTTGCCAAACCATAAGTGTTGGGGTTTATGAAGTTGTTTTTTTTTTTTTTTTTTT